CCATGTTCGAAATTAATAGCTGACAGTATTTAAAGTTCCATTTTCTTAAAATGTAAAAAGCATACTTAAAAAAATAATTCAGAAGCCAAAGAAGAGTCATAAGGAAATTCAGAAGATATTAAGAAACAGCAGTAATGAAAATACTTCATACCAAAAATTTATAGATGCAGTTAAAAAGATTCTTAGAGAACTGTAGTCCTAAATGCTTACATTAAAAAAAGAAGAAAGATCGATCCAGCAGCTTCACTTCTGGGTATTTGGACCAAAGAAAATGAAACCACGAACTTGAAAAAACATGTGCACCCCCACGTTAATTGCAATATTATTTATAATAACCACAATATGAAAACAACGTAAGTGTCCCTCAGAGGATGAACAGAGAGAATGTGACATACATATGTGTTACATGTACACACAGACCCCTATACATACACACACACACAATGGAGGGTTATTCAGCCATTAAGAAAAAGAAAATCTTGCCATTTATGAAAACACAAGAGGACCCTGAAGACACTGTGTTATGTGAAATAAGTCAAAGACAAGCGCTTACATGTGGACTCTCACAAAGAAAGCAGACAAGGCCGTGATGTAAAAAGCAAACTGGTGGCTGCCAGAGGCAGGGGTCGGGGGGGCCAGTGAAATGGGGGAAGGGGGTCAGATGGTACAAACTTCCAGCTATAAAAATAATAAAGCGTAAGAATGCAGTGTGCGGCGTGGTCTCCACAGTTAATTATATTATATTGTATAGTCGAAAGTTCTAAGTAGATCTTAAAAGCTCCTAACAAGAAAAACATTTTGTGGCTATGTGTGGTGACGGATGTTAACTAGACTTATGGTGGTCACTTGATAATATAAACAAATATCGAATTATGATGTTGTACACACGCCAATGTTCTATGTCAGTCACGCCACAATCTCAAAGAAAACAAAATTAACGAGCTAAAGATGCAACTCAAGAAGTTAGAAAAAGAACAACTGAGGGAGCTGAAAGGATATAGGAAAAAGGAGAAAATAAAAAGCTAAGAATGAAATTAAGAAAATAGAAAACATGAGAACTGCGTGTGGTTCCAGGCGGGCACTAGACTTACAGGGCCTCACTTTGTACGTCATATAGATGTCTAACCACTAAGTGTACACCTGAAACTAATCAATATTGAATGTCAACCGTAACAGAAATTTTTTAAATAAAAAATACGTAAATAAAATGGAAAATAACGATGTAATAGGATCAATAAAGCCAAGAGCATGTTTTCTTTTTATAAATTTTTTCATGTGGTTCATAGCTTTTTTTTAAATTTATTTATCTTTAGAGGAGAAGGGAAGGAGAGAGGGAGAGAAACATCAACGTGTGGTTGCCTTTTGTGTGTCCCCTACTGGGAACCGGCCTGCAACCCAGGCATGTGTCCTGACTGGGAATCGAACTGCGATTGTCTGGTTCACAGGCCCGCGCTCAATCCACTGAGCTGCACCAGCCAGGGCCAAGAGCATGTTCTTTAAGAAAACCAACAAAATATACAAAAATCTTTAGTAAGATTGGTTGAGACAAAAGAGAAAAAATAATAATTTTAAATACCTGTAATTAAAACTGAGACAGCACTACTGACTCACGAAGATTTTTTTTAAGAGAGCAACTGTGGTAAATAACATCATACCACATGTGTGAAATTTCAGACAAGCTAAAAGAGTTCCTAGAAAAATGTAATTTGTCAAAAACTGATACCAGAAAAAAACCCAGAAAGCTGAATAGAGTTATAACTACTGAAGACATGAACTCAGCAGTTAAAAATCTACTCAGCTACAAAAACTGAGTCTCAAACTTCTAAAAACTCTGCCGCAAAATGGAAAAAGGAAAAAAAAACTCTTCTGCTGGACTGAAGGTCAAAGCTTGAGCATAACCCTGGGTAAGTCACCTGGAGGGTGAGGAGGAAGCAGCCAGAGGGAATGAAGAGGGACTGCAGGGTTCGGACCCCCAGACACGCACAGTGATCACACTGCGAACGCTGGTTTTGTGGAAGGGCCTTTCTGATGACAGTTCATGTCGTTATTTCTGAAATAGATACGGAGCGTGTGAGTAGCCGCGGTCCCAATCAGTGTCTCCCTGTGCATTCCATGCAGGTGTCCACGGACCTTTTCCGTGAAGAGTAAATATTTTGTAACCTTAAGAGTGAGTGTGTGTGTGTGTGTGTGTGTGTGTGTGTGTGTGTGAGTGTAAAATATTCAAATGAAAAATAATTAGGTTAGACTCCTTTCAAGACACAAAAATAAACTTCAAGTGGCCCATGGACCTAAATGTAGGAACTAAAACTATAAGACTCTGAAGAAATTACAGAAGTAAATCTTCGTGACCTTGGGTTAAATAAGAACTTCTTGGATATGACATTAAAAGTAAAAGCAACAGAAGAAAAAATAGATTAACTGGATTTTATCAAAATTAAAAACCTTTGTGCTTCAAAGGATCCCATCAAGAGAGTGAAAAGAACTCACAGAATAGGAGAAAATATTTGTAACTATATATCTGATAGGGGTCTAGAACGTAAAACATACAAAGAACTATTATAAATGAACAAATAAAAGACAACCCAATTCCCAATGGGCAAAGGACTTGAACAGACATTTCTCCAAAGAATACATACCAACGACTAGCCAACAATAGGACAGATGCTCCACATCAGTAGCCACTGGGGAAGTTCAAATCAAAGCCACAGCGAAATACAACTTCACACACACAAGAATGTCAATAATCAGAACGTCAGGTGGTATCAAGGTCGTGGGGGAAGCGTAACCTCGCACACTGCTGGTAGGGGTGTAAAGTGGCCGGCCACGCGGTACAGCAGTCCCTTAAAAAGTGACCATCTGACCCAGCAGTTCCGCTCCCTGCATCTGCCTATGAGAAATGAAAACCTGTGTCCACACAAAACTGTACACAATCTTCATGGCAACATCGCTCTTAATAGCCAGAAAGTGAAAACAGCTAGAACATCCGCACGCTGATAAATGGATAAACAGAGAGGTACATTCATACAATTGCTTGTCAACGAGTCATGAAAAGGAATAAAGTACTGACAGATGCTGTAACCGGATAAACCTTAAAAATATTATGTTATGTCGAATAAGCCAGACACAAAAATCCACATCTTACGTACTCCAGTGAGCACACGGTGTCCGGAGTAGGGACCCGCAGAGAGAAAGCGGGTCAGCGTGCGGAGATGAGGCGGGACGCCAGTGAGCACAGGGTTTCCTCGGTGAGAGGCGGGTGTGATCTAAACCGGGCTGCGGTGCTGGGTGCGCGGTTCTGTGCATACAGGAAAAACCACCGAGCGTACAGTACTTGTGAGTTACAGCTCAGTGAAGTTGTTAATAAGCCATATAGATGGGATCTGGCCATTGAAACTGCCCTCTCCGAGGAAAAGCTGTGCTGGGAGCGCCGTTCAGTGCCCGGCCTCCGCACTGCGGTGCGGCGGAGAGCCAGGCTGTCCCTCGGTGCCACGCCTGCCCTCCAACGGGCCGCCCACCAGCGTGTGGGCATAAGCTGCTCCACACACATGCAAAACCTGCTGAACACACTCCCCAGCATTTAGAATCTGAGGATTCTTAGAAACCCTAAGGTCCTCCCTTTGATTTCATAGATGAGGAAACTGCCTTGGAAGAGGTTAGAACTCTAACACCAAGTTCCCTGGAACCTGTTCCCTCCGCCTCACCTCTCTCTTTTTACAGATATTTTGCAGAGTCTCCACGCGCCTCAGACTGGTCTTCCGAGCAATCAGAACGGCACTTCTCACAGCGCTGGGATCTGAGTCAGGCCCTGGGTGGAAACTAGAAGGGGGTCAGGAGGCCGCAGTTTCTGGGAGAGGGCGGGGGACCCTGGGGTGGGGGAGATGGGTCAGGGCCGAGGAGGCAGTGCAAGTCCCTCTTCCCGTAAGAGCAGGGAACACAAGGGGGACGTGAACTCAAGGTGTGAACCACCTCAGGGCGTCACATATTGTCTGGGGTCTGTGGCTATTGTTCCCATCACTGGCACAGTTGGAAGGTGAAGCTGTGACAACAGTTCCCCACTTTACCAGCTGTCTCCACCTCAGAGCAGTGTGATTTTGCCCCCCAGAGGTTGTCCTGTGAGTCAGTCAACCCTCGGAAACGTCGTTACCCACCATGACCTCAATGAAGACAACCCGGCAGGGTCCCGTAGATGTCCACCCACTCACCCTGCGGCCGAAACCGCAGGCCGAGGCTGGGGAGTGGGCTGGGACCAGTGTGGCCACGGGTTCTGCTCACAAGATAGGGCCAGGAGACCCTGTGCTGGGGTTGGTGTTTGGGGCTCAGAACCTTGGCGGGGCGGGGGTGTAGGCATGGGCAGGAAGTGGGCAAGGAGGCCTGAACAATGTTTATTCCCCAGACACGTACACGCTGCTCAGGAAGGAGGGAATGGTCGCATGTGGCAACGCCGGCTGCGGGCTGCGCTCTGTTCTGAGCACTTCACACGTAGTGACCCCTTAATCTTCACGGCCTGTGGGGTTTACACGATTGTTATTCTTATTCTGAGCTGAGGGAACTGAGGCGCTGGAGGCTAACGTCTTGCCGGCCACACGGCCAGTACACAGCCAAGCTGGCCCAAACCTGGCCCGGGGCTGAGCCCGCGCTCCAAGTTTCTTCCCTGTACTGCCTCTTAGGACTCACCCCCACCAGGCTGCAGGTCAGAGGCAGGGAACCCACCCCTGCCGGCCTGTCAGTCAACACCAGAGTTGTACACGGGAGTCTGCAGGCCCCTGTGTTCACTCCACGCGCGGCCTCACTGTTTGCCCCAGACTCCTGCGTCCCAGGCTGCTCTACATGGAGAACAAGCCTCTGGCCTTCACAGTTCCCTTCCTGAGGGCTGTCAGCAGGGCCGGATGAGAAGGCGAGGACAGGGTGGGTGCTGGTGGGAGGGCGGAGAGTGAGAGGGACCTGTGACCACAGCTGGGGGCAGGGCAGGAAGTGGAGGTGATAGGAACAGTGGCCTGGTGATGAGCAGTGCGGTGAGCCTGCCTGGGGGGCTGACGCCGCCACTTCAGGAGCCTCCCGTGCAGAGAGGCAGTGTCTGTGTGGAGCGGCTCAACACCGGACCCCAGGTACGGGGGAAGCAGAGGGCCAGGGAGGCTGGGGGTCCCGGGGAGGGGACAGAGGGGCCTGGAAGCAGGCTGCTCCGCAGGAGGAAGAGCCCCGTGGAGCAGGAAGTGCTGTCACACAGGAGACTTGGGTCCAGACGGCGCTCGGGCGCTCGTCACTGTACTCACTGGGTGGCCTCATGCTGACTCTGGGCCTCAGTTTGCTCATATATAAAATTAGGAAGTTAGGATATAGAGCTCTAAGACCCCTTAAACTCTTGACAGTTCTAAGAAAGCTGGAAATAGGCTTCCTGGGAGATAAAAGGATGAGGGCTAAGATGGGAACTGAGTTCCTCAGCTTGAGGGTAGGAATGGTGCTGGCCTCCTGAACGGGATAATCCGAGGGCCTTTGAAAGACTCCCTTTATAGCCCACTTTCTGCCCTGGGACTGCCACGCTAGTCACCAGTCAAGTCACTCTTTTGGGTGCAGCACAGAAGGCCAGCTAGAACACGGGAAGTTCCTGCCTCCCTGCAGTGCCCGCATCTCAGAGAAGCTGCTGGCCTGGGCGGGCAGGTGCCAGAGGGGGACGGCCTCCCAGGAGCTCAGTGTGCACAGAGGTAGAGAGAGGAGATTCCAGATCATAAGCAGGCCCAGGTGAGATTCCAGGGCCACTTCAAAATGAGAGAGAACCTTCTAACTAATCGTTGTGCGAGAGTGAGTACAAGACAGCTGGTAGCCACGCCGCAGTTCCACAGAGCGAGGCAGGGGAGGCCAGCGAGGAGACGTGCCCATCAGGAGGCCTGGAGAGCAAACCTAAAGGCCCCTCCCCACACGGGATCTAAGGGCATAGCCGATGGACAGCTTTTATTCTAGACTTTAGTCTGATGATCTTCCGCGAGGCTCAGGGAGGGGCCCCAAAGGGGAAATGGGAGAACAACAGTGATGCGCAACCTCATTTCTTTTCCATTTACGTTAACGACTTAGTGGGAAGCAGAGGGAATGAAGGAGGTAGAATGTGGAAAGCATGGCTTGTTCTGGGGCCCGGAATGGCACTTCCTCAGAATCCAGTCTTCTCCAGAGTCCCCAGGTCCATTCCAAAATCTGCCACAGCTGCTCTCTCTTCCCCTCCTGTGCACACAGAGCCCCTCCCCGCCAGCAGCCACCGTGGAGACAGAGCCATCAATCCGGATTCCCAATAAGCCTTAAATAGTAAAATCCCAGCAAGGGGCTCCTTCTAGCTATGTGACCTCCTCTCTAGGCCCGTTTGTACACTGTGGGAGGCGACCGGGTTTGCAAAGGCCACTCCAGCTCTGGCATTCAGTGACTTAAGAGCTACCTCGTTCCTTCCCCATTGTATGTGCCCTGATCTCCCGCAGTGGCAAGGAAGGGTCAGCCACTCTGCATGCCTCTGCGCCCCCAGCTTCCTGGAGCCCAAACTCCTGCTGTCTCCACAGCTCCATGGCCACCAGTGTGTTCCCCTTGGGCATCCTGCTCCTGCTGCTGCCCACGCCTGCCCCTGCCCCCTGCTATACTGCCGCACGTTCCGAGTGCCAGCGTAATAGGCAGTTCGTGCCTGGCTCGTGGCTGGCAGGGGAGGGTGTGGATGTGACCAGCCTCCGCCGCTCAGGCTCCTTCCTGGTGGACACACAGCACTTCCTACGGCCCGATGGCACCTGCACTCTCTGCCGCAACAGCCTGCAACAGAACGCCCTCCAGCGCCTGCCCCTGGCGCTCACTCACTGGCGCACCTACAGCTCGGCCTGCCGGCGCCATGTGGCCAAGGCCCAGACCAGCTCCATAGAGGATGTGGCCAGGGATGCGGCTGCCAGCATCCGCAATGACTGGCGAGCAGGACTGGAAGTGAATCCCAACCCCGGCTCCAGTGCTCGTGTAGCAGTGGCCGGCTCACATTCCAAGGAGGCCAATTTTGCAGCCCAGAAAAGCCAACAGGACAAGTACAGCTTCAGCACCGACTCAGTGGAGTGTCGCCTCTACAGGTCAGTGCATGGGGATGGTGGCAGAGGGGGCTCGAAAAAGTTGTGGGAAATTCTGGGTGGCCTGGGAGCCCTGGAATGGCAGAGTGGGGACTCGAGGCTGCTTCCGGGAGGAAACCACAGCCCAGGTTCTCACACACCAGGGGCCCAGTGCCCGGTGGCCCGGGTCGGGAAGAGCCCAGGGAGCAAACAGGTGGGGAGGGGGCAAGGCTGTGCTGAGAGCCCCAGCGTGGTGTCTTCGGGCCCACTGAGCACCGACCCCTCTTTCCTGGGCACTGCCAGCCTTCAGTGGGCAGGAGACCTGGCTGGACCCCTCCCATCGCCGGGCCTCCTTCCATCCAGTCACGCCTACTGGCCGAGCTCTGTGCTGGCAACTGGGACGACAGTGTTGAGCAAGAGCAGTCACGGCGCAGCCCTCGAGGGCCGAGGCCCCGCGCCTGAGAAATGCATGGTCTCCAAAGGCAGCCCCGAGTCGCCCGCCCTGACTTCTCACACTGGGAGGCCACGGGTCCCCCACAGTGAGACATGGGACCTCCTGTCTGCCTGGCCAGGGACATCAGGAGCCCAGGCCTACGGGGCCCATCGAGGGGACAAACAAAGGCCACCAGACTGGGTCCAAAGCTAAAGGGTTACCATCAGTGCAGTGCCATTGCTTTTATCATTAGAAAACAAAAAGGAAAGACAAATCTTTATTTATTTTGAAAGGGAAAAGCAAAAATGGCTCAACAAAGTAGCTAGGTCACTGAAGTGCTATAGACAGAGGGGGTTTCCTGGGTCCAGGTCCTAGTTCTGCCACTTACAGGTGACCTTGGCAACCTTGAGGGACTCAAGCGCAGTGGCAGAGACTCCCCGCTGCTGGGCCCACCTGACGTTTGTCTCTCCCCTCCCCGCAGTTCTCACCTGGTGCACGCTCCACCGCTCCACCCTGATTTCAAGAGGGCCCTCAGGGACCTGCCGCCACACTTCAGTGACTCCACCCAGCCCGACTACCTCAGACTCATCTCCAACTACGGCACCCACTTCATCCGCTCCATGGATCTGGGTGGCAGGATCTCTGCCATCACCGCCCTGCACACCTGCGAGCTGGCCCTGGACGGGCTCACAGCTGACGAGGTGGGGGACTGCCTGTCCGTTGAGGCCGAGGTCAGCATAGGCGGCCGTGCCAGCTCCTCGGCGGAGTTCAAGGACTGTGAGGAGAAGAAGAAGCAGAGCAAGATGACAACCTCCTTCCACCAGTCCTACCGGGAGCGCAGGCTGGAGGTTAAAGGCGGCCACCACACCTCCATGCCCGACCTACTGTTTGGGAACCACGTTGGGCCCGAGCAGTTCACAGCCTGGGTGACCTCACTGCAGGACAACCCCGGCCTGGTGGACTTCACCCTGGAGCCCCTGCACGTGCTCCTGGGGAAACAGGACCCACGGCGGGAGGCGCTGCGGCAGGCCATCAGCCAGTACGTGACACACAGGGCCCGCTGGCGGGACTGCAGCCGGCCCTGCCCCCCGGGGCAGCAGAAGAGCCACCATGACCCCTGCCAGTGCGTGTGCCATGGCTCCGAGGTCACCAGCCAGGGCTGCTGTCCCCGGCACAGGGGCCTGGCCCAGCTAGAGGTTAAGAACTTCCAGGCAACAGGTCTGTGGGGAGACACATTTACTGCCACGGACGCCTACGTGAAGGTTTTCTTTGGAGGCCAGGAGCTGCGGACGGGCACTGTGTGGAACAATAACAACCCCCAGTGGACGACACGGCTGGACTTCGGGGACGTGCTCCTGGCCACAGGGGGGCCCCTGAGGGTGCAGGTCTGGGACGCGGACAATGGCTGGGACGATGATCTTCTGGGCACCTGCGACCAGACCCCACGGGCTGGCTCTCAGAAGGTGGAGTGCAGCCTGAGTCACGGCCGGCTGAAGTTCTTCTACGATGCCAGATGCCTGCCTCACCTGACGGGGGGAACCTGCCTAGATTACGCTCCCCACCCACTTCTGGGGGAGTCTCCCGGAAACCGGAGTGGAGCTGTATGGTGACAACAGGGGTCCTTGAGGGGGCCTGTGTGCCTGGACTGGAGGGGCCCTCACCCAGGGAGCCAGGGCCCCTCTTCCTACCCCCACTAGACAGATGGAACACGGAGGCCGTTTCTCTTCAGTGAGGCAGCTGAATTCACAGGCCAGCCCTGGGTCTCCCTGTCCAAATGGCCTTTGCTCTCCACTGTCCTCGAGCCCAGGAAAGGAGCAGGGGCTGGGCCACGCGGGCTTGGGTCAGGTGCTGCGCAGAGGCCAGGAGGCCGTCCCCTCCAGGCTGCTTGGTGTCACTGAAGAGCTTCCTCGCAGTTCTTTATAACACGGTGAGCCGCTCCTCCTGGTAGACCTAACCCCTCCATCCCAGCGGCCCTGTTCGCCGTCGTCTTGCCCACCTCCTTCGCCTCTCAGGCGACCCAAGGGCTATTGTGACCTGTCCCATTGTGCACACAACCTGCCAGAGTACCAATAAACCTGACATGATGACAACTATGGTGGTGGTGGTTGTGGCAGGGGACGGCGTGGGGACCCGACACAGCCCCGGAGATAACTTCTGCTCTAGCAACCCCATACAGCGGACAGGGTCCCCGCTCCAGCGGCACTTTTGTTGAAAATGTGGGGACCCAAAATATTTTACTTTCCCTGTAGCTCTCCAATTTGAGAAACAGCAGCATAGACTTGGTGATAAATGGCAATGGACGTTCGGCTCCCTGCTGGGAGACAATAGGGGGCGGTGAGGACTGTGGTGAACTGCAGGGCACGTGTGGCATCTAGGGTGCTGTCTTTTACAGGCCATAACGTATCTGGGGCAGTTTGGAAACTCTGACTTGCACAGAGCCCATTTGACAGGCTGAACGAAGAAGGTGGTGTCAGAGGTTTTCCTGGCCTTGGTGTGCAGTAAACGCCAGAGTCTCGGGGTCCGGTATCAAGTGAGCGGGTCTTCATTTCCTGTGCCTGGGACACAGGCCTCAGAACAGGGCGGTGGATTCTGCACAACCTCCTAGACGTGCTGGTTTGGGGCCGTGCGCGGCTGAGGTCAGAGGGGCTCAGGGCGGCAGCGCAGCCCTGCCGCCTCCCTTTGAAACTACCTATAAATTGAGCCCCTTGAGGTTTATGTGGACCCTTCAGGTCCAAAGTCCCAAAGTGACACCGGCCCTGAGCCCTGCAGTGGAGTAGGAGGGACGGACGAGCTCTGAAAGCCAGTTTAAAACCATCACTCTTAAGGTGTTTCTGCTCACAGCCACACACACACACACACACAAGGGCAGAAGAGAACTCGTGAAAATTCATGCCAGCTGCAGCCACAACTGGAAATAAACATGGGTGGGAACTGTCACCGCGCTCTCTCCTGCCATCGTGGGGACAGCAGGGGCGGGGCAGACCTGGCTCAGGGACGTTCCCATGGGGTCAGTGACCCCACCAGGTCCCTCTGCTCCCTGAGCCTTGGTTTCCCCAAAAGGACAGTCTTTGTTTTACTCTCTTCTCAGGGCACCAGGGGCTTTGCTAGAAGGCCGGTGCTATAAAAGGGTCCTGAGAGGTCGTCTGGCCAACTGCTGTGGTTACAGAGTCAGCGGCAGAGCCAGGCCCCCTCAAATCCTGGGCTCCACCCCAAGTGCAGCTTTGGAAAGGACCAGAGGACGCAGAAAGGCCGGCTCTTGGGGGAACCGGTGAGAAATGACCAAGGACAAGGAAGGGCCAGCTCCTGTTGAGGGGCCACCTGGAGCCCTCAGCCCTGACATCTTTGCTTCCACCTCACACTGAGATACCTTGTCACACCTGAGGCGCCTCATTTGCTGGGAAATTCCCACTTTACCAGATCCCTCCCATTTACCCTCCGGGTCTTGTCTGTGCCCTGCTCTGGCCCCGGGGCTGCCCTGTCTGACTCTGTCACTGGGCAAGATATGGGGGAACTGAGGGGGAAGATGTCAGGCACATACTCCCCTCAGTGTCCCTCAGCGAGGTGGCCTTGTGTCCCTCTTCCTTTCCAGGGGTCTCTGGCTCTTTCTCACTGGATTCCAGCCACTGCCCCTCCCCCCATGCTTCAGACCTCGGGTGGGAACGGCTCCACAGCTGTGAATCCCGAGTCCCCCCGCACTGTCCCGCGTGCCTCACCACGACCCCTAAACCTTTGTAAATAGACCCTTTATGAGCAACGCCCCCACATTATTATCATTTGACTATCCCACGGGCCTCTGCCGCAGTCCGGATGTGCCCCCTCAGTGGCGTCCCAGGTGGCGCCATCGGGAGGAGAGTACGTGGAATCCCTGCCCTTACAAAGGAGGCCCCAGCGAGACCCTCTCCCCTTCGCACCATGTGAGGGTGCAGCAAGAAGGCACCGTCTGCGAACAGGGCGTGGGCCCGCTGAGTCTGCTGGCACCCCGGTCCTGGTCTTCCAGCCTCCAGAACTGAGAGAAATAAATGTCTGTTGTGGAAAAGCCACCTAGTCTGTGGGACTTTGTTACAGCAGCTCGAACGGATGGAGACAGCTTCCCATAGGGACCCTGCTGATACCATCTAGGAGTCCTGGTGGGACCAGAGCACGCACCCCTCCCACCCAGGAGCTGAGAATGCCTGGTTCTTGCTCCCCCAACCTCTCCTGTAATGGCTGGGTCTGCTGGTTAGAGGCACCTGCCCAGGTGTGGGTCTCTTCAAAGGAGCCAGGATCGGAGTGCAGCCATTTGCGTGGGAGGCAGTCCCAGGAAGCCCCAGTAGGGGGAGGGGGAGGAGCCAGAGAAGGGCAGGGCCCTAAAATGTGCATCAGCAGGCAAGCCTCTGCTGCGGGCAACCAGAGCCAGTGAGGGACTCGGACCTCAGAGTCACCGCAGCTGGGGATGGAGGGAACTGGGCACCCACACCCCACACCCCACCTCCCTCCCGTCACTGGTTTCTCTTCTACTCATTTCATCCAGCCTGGGTTCTAGTGCTGGCAACTACAAACCCTGGTTGGTGACACCGTCCCATCCTCTTCCGCCTCCCTGCTGCAACACCCCATCCCCTTTTCCAACCACACCCCACCCACCCCTGAGGCCCTTGTTTGTAGAATCATCGATCGACCATCCCCGGAACCTCCCTCTGCCTCCCTCCCTAGGACATGAAGTGGCATCCTAGGGGGGGACCATTCCTGGTTCCACCATTCAGCTGAGGACCTGCTGTGAGCTGGCCCGGGGGCCAGTGAACAAGCCGCACAGAGCATCTGTGCTCGTGGGGCCAGATGGGACACAGATGTGGGCACAATGAGAGATACAAGGAGCAGGGGGACATTCAGGGTAGGGGCTTGGCTGGCTTGCTCTTTTCTCATTTCTCATTCCTACACACACACACACACACACACACACACACACACACACACGGCCCTAGTGATCTCTTCTAAGACAGGGAGTGGCACTGGCGGCAGCCAGTTTGTGTTTTTAGTGGTTGCCACAGCACCTTCATCTCCCTTCACACATGCTCCACAGTCCTGGGCTGTGGCCCCTGGCTGTGCCGGGGCCTGTGCTGGTGTCTCAGACGCATGTAAGCAGAGGGGAGTGTGCGGGAGGAGCAGCAATGCACGGATGAGGGAGCGCTTCGGGGAGGTGCCTCTGAGGGGCTTTGAGTCCGCGAGCGCTCTTCACTCCCCACATCTGTCACCAAGACCAGCCTGCTCTGCACCCTGACATCGTCCCCTTCTGCCCATAACCACAGCTCCCCCAGCCCGGGCTACTACCATCCATTGCTTGGCTAAGCCTTGCTGTTGCCTCCTCACTGACATCCAGGCTCCTGTCTGCCCCTCCCTGCCCCTCCACCTCATAACCACAGCTGCGCCAACACCCTGCCCCCGTCCCTGTCCCCGGGGGCCCCACGCTGAGCCAGCCCCTGCATCTCTGCCCGAAGGCCCACACCGCAGCCCACTCTGCCTGCCCCATCAGAAGGCCACAGTGCCGGGGAAGTGTCCATGCCCCACCCAGCCCAGAGCAGTCTTCAGTGGCCAATAGAGGTGCTCTATAAATACCCTGGGGCCCTTCCCTTGCGGGCAGCAACCCTGAAGGAAATTCTGTGCTGCCTCCCAGAGCTCTCCGGCTGAGGTGGCTCAGAGGTGGCTCTTGACCACATACACTCTCTTGGCCAAGAGACACGCTCCCTCCCCGTCTCAACTCCCCACTCTCCTGCTAGTATTTTCTGAAATCACCTTCCACGTAAACTAGCTGCCCACAAACCCCTGTCTCAAGGTCTGCCTCTGGGAAAACCAGCAGAAACACCCTCAGCACATCAGTGCCTCGCTGAAAGCCCTTCACCGGTTCCTTGCGGCTTCTGGGATGAAAGCTCAGACCCCGTAATGCAACACACATGCGGACCCCACTCTCAGCTCTGCCCCTCACCGAGCCCCGCCTCACTGAGTTATCGCCGGCTCCCCTGGGGCTGCGCTCTCTCCAGCCCCTCACACAGGCTGCCTCCCCTGTCTGAAGTCCTCCTCATCCTTCAGGATTCAGCTTCAAACGTGGCTTCCTCCGAGAAGCCTCTCTGACGGCCAGGCCTTGGCCATGGCCCCCACTACTCTGTCCCTATGGTTCCCATTATTTCCCAAGGGCCAAAGGCCATTTCCATCTTATTCATAGTTAATTAGTCCAGCACCTGGCATGAGTCTGATGCTTGTAAAATATTGGATGGATGATTAGATAGGTGAATGAATGAATGAATGAATGAAAGAAATCCACCGAGGAGCCTTCCAGCCTCTGAGAGCGCCCTCGTTGCCCCCGGAGGCAGCCGTTCTACACGTGGAAGAGCATGAGCCATCCCGTTTCACCGCCTCCTCCTGCCACCCAGCCCTGGTCATGGCTCAGGGATTCCGTGGGTCTCGGTCTCGGGCCCCACCTCGGACTGGGCTGGGCGGAAGAACCAGGGGGCTGATTCCAGTCCAGATGGCCACCGCCCCTCACTGCTCTGGCGCAGAAGCCACAGGGAGGACACACTGCCGGGGTAGAGGTGGATGTTGGCCAGGCCAGCCCCCTCCTCTCCATTGGTGACCACAGAAACGAGAACCTCTCATGGAGGTGACGGATGCCTCTGGACTATCACCCACGAAGGCCTCTCGCTTCTCAATGGACCCCATCACCCACTGAGACAGCCCCAGCTTGGGCAGTGCTTTCTCTGGGCAGAGCTAGTGCCGTGCTCACTTGGCCTAGGAAGGTTGTGACCCCAGAAGGCCCAGGCCGACCACCTTAACCTGCCCATGGGATTCCTCTCCCCTCCCCTCCTCTGCTGCCTGCTGAGGCCCTTTGCAGCCAAGACTTGCACAGCCCAGGTGGCCACACACACCGGCAGGGGCAGGCTGAGCTCCTGCCTGGCTTTCTGCTGTCTGGGATGTGGGGGAGGGGCAGGTCTGGCACAGCTGAGCCCAGGGGTGCAGGGTGTTTAGGGTTACTGCACAGAAAGAGATCAACCCCTCATACTCAGGACTCGAAAGAGCAACCAAAGACCAAAACCCCACCCACAAATGGAATGATTCTACCCATACATTCACCGCAAACTAGCCATAGAGAACTACCATGTGACCCTCAACTTTGACCTGAGACTAAGCCCCAACCTCAATCAAGTCTCTTAGAATATTGCAATCACATAAAACTCCGCCTATCGACCCAAGAGTGCCCCACCGTAACACAAGGGGCTAGAGCCCTGGCTGGTGTGGCTCAGTGGATTGGGTGCTGGCCTGTGAACCAAAGGGTCACCAGTTCGATTCCTAGTCAGGGCACATGCCTGGGTTGCAGGCCAGGTCCTCAGTAGGGGCGCATGAGAGGCAACCACACATTGATGTTTCTCTCCCACTCTTTCTCTTTCCCTTCCCCTCTCTCTAAAAATAAATAAATAAAATCTTTTAAAAAATAGAACAAGAGGCTAGAACAATGATTTCTGCACCGCTGTCCAGCTCAGAGGGGCTCGCCCCTGATTCTATACACATCTCGTGCCTGACCCTCAGCAGAGGTGACCGAATGAACCCAACAGCCCAATCACCCCACAGTTGCTTGGCAGGTACACCCAGGAGCAAACACCCAGGAGCAAACACCGCGTTCGTGATGCTTGAATGAGCCCTGCCCCGTCTGCCTTTCTCCTCTCGGGGGCCTGGACACACAGCCCCGGCCGGCCAGACCAGCACAGCTGTCGTAGAGTCAGAATTTGTTTACCTCGAGGCTCCCAGTGCTCCGCTGGGCCCACAGTTAATCTCCACGACAGCTGCTTCCTGGCTGCCTCTTAAAAAGGCAGTGGCATCAGTGTGCAGGCAGGACACCGGCCCTCCCCCTGGGAAACCCGCATTCCGTGACACTCAGCGGCCACGCAGGGCAGCTGCCTCCAGGGAGACACCAAGGTCTCCTGTCCCTCTTTGTTCCCAGGAAGCTTCACCCTCAGGACTGGGAGCTCAGCCCACTGACCTCCACCCCAGGGAAGTGGTCACTAGGGAAGGACATCGTCACCACCGGGCCTCTCCCTCTCCAGAGTCATGCGGGACTTCACGCGGCTGCATTCTGTGGAGCACTTTCCACATGGGGGTAATGGAGAGAGGCCTCGCTCCCTTGCCTTGCCTCTCCACTTCCATTACTCTCCTCCCACTAACAGCACAAGTGAAATCCAAGGACTAACCCCCTGCGTGCTTCCAACAGCGTTCTGAGTTCTGCACACGCCTCAGTGCATTTAACCTTCCCGCCGGCCCGGTGAGTGGAGGCGCTCACGCCCTCTGCAGAAAATGGGATGTCGCCTTTGTTCTGAACCTTCTCCGCCAGCCCTGCAGTCTGACTCCTGAATGTCCAGAGTGTGCTGGGTGCTGCCGCTCCTCCGGAGTCCTCCCAACGCCGTGCCTTCAGGGGGCCGACGGGGACGGCGTCAGGGGATGCTCTCAGGAGCTGCGATCTGCCCGTGCTGCCACGCCACTCGATTTTTCAAATGCGGTAAAATATGCATAGCATAATATTTTCTGTCGTCACCACCTGTGGAGTGTGCAGCTCATTAACTATGTTCACAGTGTTGCGGAAGTGCCACCCCTGTCTCCACCCGACACCTTTTCATCGTCTCCAGAAAAACCTCTGCACCCATGAAACAGTACCCGCTGCCCCAGCCTCTGGCCAGCTCTATTCTGATTCCCATACTTATGAATTTGCCTATTATAGGCGCCTCCTATGTGTGGGGTCAGACAGTACAGGGCGCGGCAAAAGTAGGATTCGAGTTAGTTGCTCGTGTGGAAAATAAT